CATCTCCTCCCGCTCAGACCTACAATGATGAGCACCGAGACTGTTTTTGAGAGTGGAGACCAGCCTTGTATTCGGCTGGAGCCCCTGAAGAGCACACACTTGCCGGGCAAGTCGACGCCGACCGGTGGCAGCTGCGCTGACTTCACGGACAGCAGCCCCAAAGCGACAGCCAACGGACTGCACGACATTGAGGACCGGATTCTGAGGATCACCGGCTACTACGGCTACAACCCGGGATACTCCAGTCATAGAAGTGAGTGAAAAGATGCCAAAAAAGAAAAAGAAAAAGAAAGTAGTCTGGTGTAGTCATTTGTTGATGTGACAGGTTCACGCATTTATTAGGCAAGTGTGATACTGCGTAAATTAAAGACTGTGGGAAAACGGTGCTGCCTATCAAAGCATGTTATAGCTGCCAAAAGCAAAAATGCTTGTAATTCGGTGTTTGGAAGAAACAGTGTACAATTGCCAAATCTTTTTAATTCTAATTAGGCCTTGTGCAAAATTGGTTAATGAAAACTGGATTTTAATTGTGGCTGTTAAGGAGCAGCAGAGTGTCCATCTCTGCCACTGTCAGCTGGAGGGTGGGTGATGAGCTGGCCCGTCCATCTCTGTTAGTGAGGGGGAGGTGAGGGTAAGGGGGCAGAGAGAGGCTTACGAACCAAATCTAGCGCTGCGAGACAATGCAGTTACACAGCAAAGAGCCATGCAGTTAAGTGACTGCTTGAACTGTAGGCTACTCTAAGGTTGCCAGCTATCGAGCGCTCACATTCCCCACATTGGAGAAGGCTGTGAACAGTCACTCCCAATCAATTGTTTATTCAAAATCTCACAGCTTCTCCTGTGATGGATGGGAATATTACCAGCTATCTCCTGGCATGCTTCAAATACAGCAGTGCGTGTATGTGTTAGCTAAGCTATAATTTTCTTCTTGTCAAAGAGGTTTTGATTTGTGTCAGGCATTGCTCTGAATTTGCTGACATTGAGACAATGGCTGTGATTGGAGAAGAGAGCTGATGGTGCACTTTGTTCAGGGATGATCTTTAGAAAACTTGCCCTCCGGTTTTGTTCGAGTGTTGCCATTGGCAGCGGGATTATGAGAGAGAAAAGTGGGGAGAAAGGCACTAAGCTCTTTGAAAAGCCAATCAGTGCTATCATAAATGGCTCTATAGTAATGAAGTGAGGTGAGAGGAGGAGGATTTGACAAGGCCTAAAGCACCGGAGCAGGCACAGATTCACCTTTGTGTTGCATAATTGGCCTAACCACTACGATTTTATGTCGTTTCTCTTTTAAAGGGATTTTTCCCGTTAAACAAATTCCCCAAAATGCAGCTGGTCATCATGTGAGTGTCTTGACATTCAGATGCTGAGACCCTTAACCTCAATTAAATTGGGCACGCAACACCGGCTCCCTAACATCTCCCTCTGGCTGCTACATAAAAGTTCAAACATAAATTCCTGACTTAAATACACATGCAGGAAAACGATGTGCTCTCAATGTTATGGCTTCCCTGCTCTGTGATATACGGTGACAAATCTATTTGAAATCTCAAAGGAAATACCGCCATGCTGATAGGGTCTCATTCAATCGAGAACAGTTCCAGCTGAGGCTCTTTCAGATCAGCTCGGAGCATCTCAATGGCTTTTCAGATAGAGGCTGCGGAAAGAAAAAGCGAAATGAGCCTGTCTTTCATTAACCGCCTCCTGTTTATCAGGGGTGTCAGTTGCAGTAGATTAACCATGAACGCAATCACACATTTTACTTGAGAATGTGTCTACTTGTCTGGATTAATCTATTGGAAGAACACCTGATTAATCAGGAGCAGTCCAAACTTTCAATTGAAAACAGATTGAACAGTTCAGAGGCTTCTGATACAGCACCAGAGTTATGTAACCAGTACTGAATGACTGGCTCTAATAAATAAAGTATTTTGTATTTTAGAAGCTTGAAGTAGCACTGGCATCATTGATATTTACTTCTAGTTTTTAAATTGTGCAAATATTCCGATGTATCAGTATGGCAGAAGGCTGAGATGATAAGGTGCTGTTGCTGATTACTGATTGGCCAGTAAAAATAGTTTTGTTTTCTGATTATTGAAAGATTGTTTTAGCTATTTTTAAATAAAAATGCCAACATGAAGAACAGTAGGCATTTTCATTATTTTCTGACAACACAGGCTAAATTATTCATCATCTATTTCTGCAAAAAAAAAGAAGAAGAAGAAAAAAAGAAAAACAAAAAATAATCATCAAATTAAGCAATAATGAACATCAGTATCTGGTGAGGCTCTGGTTTCCAGTTTTTGCAGCCTTGAGTCTGTTATTCTATCGTCTATAATATTCTGTACTTGTGAAAATGAAAGCTGGGGTGCTGTCTGTGATATTATTTGAAATATAGGGAGCAGGTGTGGATTGCAAGAGCCGTACCAAGGTTATAAAAGATCAGTCAGAAGGTTTTTTTTGACCTGAAAGACATTTCCCATTTTTTAGATAGATCCGTTTCCCCTGTTTTTTTTCCATCTATCAATCAAATGAATGAAAGTCCAGACAAGGTGCTCTCCAGTGCAGCTTGTCAGTGTTTTTCCTGTGTTTACAGCTCTTAAACACGTAGCTGCTAATCTGACAAAATTTTATTTGCACATCATTATCCTGCTAATTCTTCTTCTCTTTCTTTGCTGCGTCTTGCTGCCTGAAAGCATTGCACTCAAGTACTGTGGTTTGTTTACACTTTGAATCACATGTCCCTCAAGCTGGTGAGTATCATTTTCCATAAAGGACAAGACAAAGGAGCACCTAAATAGAACAGAAGGCTTGTCCTGCCAAGCCTATGGCGTAATGATATATTTAGTAAGATCTTGTTGCCAGTTTGTTCGTATTGCCACTTGCCATCTGTGTTGAATTAGAAGATGCCTCTGAGGGGAATTGTGGACCACATTTGGAGACAAGGTCCGGACTCTAATGCATGCAGTACAGTCATGACACAATGGCTGCATGCAGTGACAGAATCTGAGAGGGAAAAAGTAAATGCTTTTCTAAGCAAGCAAGGTGCAATATCTCTTGATCCGCTACTTACATGGTTGCACAGCTATGAACGTGTGCTCCAGTGAGAAGCTGTAACGGAATCAATTTTTTTATGAGAAAATAAAAGGAAAGTAAATTCTAACAGAACAATAGTGTGTGAGGCAAATGCTTCCCAGCACCTCCTGGAAAACATTGCTGTAATTTGCTGGGTGTCTTTTTTGAGGTGGTAATTTAGAAAAAGTGTGTAGTGCGTGTGCGCTCCCCGCTGGGTAAATAGGTACAGTGCAAGAGAAATTGCAGGTACTTGTAGTTGAAGTCCCACTCAGTACTGGACCTATATCTTTTTCACTGCAGGCGTCACAGTAAAGCAGGGGCACACCTGAGCACTCAGAAGGAAATTATATAGAGGAAGGGCAGGAAAGGCAACCATTTATCACAGAGCAGTGTGTTTTTATGTCTACTTCTGTCCACAGACAAAGTCTAGAAACATAAGGAAAGAAGACAGATGATGATTGTGAATCTATACATGCCTGTGAGTGTGCTTTAAAATCAGACAGTGTTCACACTAGATGAATATCCCTTTTCTTCCTCAAACATTCTGTATGTGCACATACTTATTTTGGACCGTCCCGTTCCCATGCCTGCTCACTCTGTGCTATTTATAGCCAGGCCAACGAATGGGATATGAGCTTTGCCTGAATGACTCCTGGAGTGCTGTTAGTCCTCAATGCTCCTGCAAAAGCACAGAACTAACCTGAGAGTAATGGGTGCAATATTTCTCCATGAGAGTTACAGAAGTGCTGACCTATTCTTGTGCGACTGTACACTCGGTGTTGTAGTATTGCAGCCCATTTCAGGTGATAAAATTGAAAAAAAAAAAAAGAAAGATTTTTTTTTAGCTCACCTCAGCAATTTATGGTTAGGAACTTTGTTTTGCAAGTATCTTGGGGCTATTGCAGAGATTATCGCCCACAAAGACACTTGAACCCCAGCTGCTTTGGATGCGTTTGTCACTGTGTGAGCGGGTTAATGGCTGTAGTGTAAAAGCCCTTTGAGTGATCAGTAAGAAATAAAGGAGCATATACATTACAGCCAACTGCTGTCATGCAAAGTAACATTACATAATATGGGAAGAGAGTATGTGTGTGTGCGTGCATTGCTGCTACACTGAGTATGAGCTGCAGCCAAACATTGCCCTCTTGTGGTCTGTAAATCTAATCACATCAATAAATCTTTGTAAAAATGTTTCCATCATTTTTAGAAAGTCAGTGGGATTATTTGTTTGTGAACTGGACCAACAAAACAAACCCCAGAAATAATGACCAAGCCATATTTTATTAAAGTGTTATTAAATTCCCAAACTGATCTACTTAGTAAAGTCAGTATCTGTGGTGTTATTAATCAGGCGTACCCAAAGTTTCCACAGTCAAATGGCCATACACCACAGGTATGGGATGTCGGTGCATTTTACTTGTTTATTGGATTTAGTGATCGAGCACAAACAAAAGAAGAAAGCAGCATGGGTCTGGGTGTCTGTTTTGTGTGTGTGTGTGTGTGTGTGTGTGTGTGTGTGTGTGTGTGTGTGTGTGTGTGTGTGTGTGTGTGTGTGTGTGTGTGTGGGAGGGGGGTGACATTTACTTACAAACAAGCTCAACTTGCTTAACATAGAAGAACATTAACACTCGTGTAGGTTTTCAATGTCTACATGAAATGAGAACAACAAAATATAATAAAACAAAGCAAAAAGACCCCAACAAAAAACGAACAAAACCAAACCAATTGAGTGTAGGTCTGTGTAGACAAAAAATAAATAGTTCCCACAGTAACAGACTGAACCCACTAAACTCACAGTAATAGCCATATCCTTGCTTTGACGCTTTGGGGTCCACAGGGACTAAGTAAAGCGCTATACAAATACAGGCCATTTACCATTTTTTTACCACTTTGTTCAGTTGGCTCAGAAGGACAAACACTGATGTTGATATTTTAAAATGTACTTTGTTATTGTTTTAATATAAAAAAAATCACCATAACTTTGACTGCGTAGTGCAGAAATGTGAGTGACTCAACCCTTTAATGCTTGGAGAAAATTGTCTCTTTAAGAGTTTTTTCCCCCGTGTTCCTGTCCCACCTGTAATGCAGCCATTCATATTTACCACTAGATGTCCTCATCTTCAAATGTTCTCAGTACCTTGGGTTGAGTTGTTGAGGTACCGTGTCTGGATACACACCTGAAATTTGTTCAAAGGCTTTTCAGCTAAAATTAGCGCCCCGTGCTCGTCGTCTTTGCTCCCGGATCTTGTTGAGATGTGATGAGTAACAGAGAGGTGCTAAAGACAAAGACCCGTCTACTGCAAACTGTCGAGCATTAGTTAATCTGAATGACAAAAGAGCTTGAATGGGTCGAGTGCGTCAGTGTGCACAGGAGACTGTGTTGCTATGGAGGTAAAGAGGGAGGATGCTGTGGTATACTGTGCTTTGATCAGTTATGCTTGCAGACCATTTTGTTATATAGACACACTTTCCATTTTATTAGCTACTCTAAAAAGGGATTATTATTAGAATTTTTTCTGTCTTTCTTTCTTAGTTAGAGAGTTATTGAATGATTGAAGTTCATGTATGGTTTGCTTGAATTGTAGAATAAAATGCAGATATGTTGTAAAGGTCTGATGGGAATGAATGATCAGTAACTTTCCTCTCAGCAGTAACAAAAAAGAAAGCATCCAAAGTTAGATGTAGGCCGAACAGTATAGTAACGCAGGATAGAGAAAGCAATAATCTTCTTAAAACTTAGAGTTGTTAGTCCAATATTTGAGATTGAACTGTGACAAGAGGTATTTCTCTTAATCCGATACTGATTCGAATCCCAGGATTTGCTGACTGGGTCGCTCCTCTGTCCCCTCAGTGTCTAGGTGTTGGCTCCTCTCATCAGCAGGTCTATTTTTACATTTAACCCTCCAGCTTGTCCCTGGATTACGTATTCAGTCCTGCTTGTCACACATTAAATGTGCAAACATTTTAAAACAATGCTGATTCTGGTTGCATAATTTAAAGCATTAGTATTCTTGTTACACTCATTCTGTAACTGGGTGACCCCAGGGAATAAATGTGCCTGCATCACAACGTCATCCTAAAAATGACAGTAGAGAAGTGCTTTTTTCAAAGTGTTGAACTCTAACAGATGAATTACCATAACGTTACTGGAACGTGGCCCCAAATTTTCAGTGTCTTTTTGTCACTTGCAAGAAACAGCCAAACAATAACTGTGCTGTTTTCTATTCTCTCGCAGCCTGAAGAATGCACAACAAATACTCTGATCTGTTATGCCCTTTGTAGCTTTGCCAGATCTTTGGCTGATCAGCATTTGAAACGGGAGGCAGACGTTAACAGAAATCCTGGAGCAGACATGCTGCAAATAGCTTTCAGTATTCACAGCCAGCCAACTTAGGCAACAATCACATTGCGGTTACTGTACTGAGTGGTTCCCCTGTTTCCTGTTTCTCAGGTCACATTGCTCCTGGTCTTGCTTCTCCAATTCAGATTTTACTGTAAGATTTCATAGTAATATTTATTACTGGCTGCATCGCCTCATGTGTCTGACCGCATATACTTTGGCACTGATATGTTGTTGACGTAGAGGCCAGAGTGATATTTAGGTCCATTAAATCTTCAGGTAGATAAACCACAGCATCAGATTGAATAACTGCATGGCTTTCCTTGAAATGGAAACTCCTGACCAACTATAATCCTGAGCCTGACTCACAAACTCTATTCCGATCATCAACATAGCTGCTGATGAGGGTTTCCCTTGACTGTGCAGCAGTGACGGATAAAATATTAAAATCCTTCGTTAAAGTACCAGCATATAATAAATAAATAAACAGCTAACATCCACAGAAATTTCTGCATAAATAAAGAAATTCTCATCAAAAGTGCTTACAGTGATTATGGATTTTTTTTAAGAACCACACTACAGTGATTTATCATAAATGGACATTTGTTGAATTTTTAAAATTAGGACTGACTTGTAGGAAAGTGTTTTCATTTTCTTGGTAAGGTGGCCCTGAGAGGTCAAACATAATACAAACTGAGAAGCTTTTGAAGTGACAGAAACCAAAACACGGAGAGGATCGCACTGAGACGCACTTAAAAGACGCTGTGGATTCATCTGTGTTGTAAGGGAGAAAAATGTGATTCATATAATACACAAAACACACTTCTGTTGTGATTCGTACATTTTCTTTTCCATTTCTCCTTTGTTTTCTTCAACTTGTTTTGTGTGTTTTTGTAGAGTTTCTGTACTTGCTGGCCTTTTCTTACGTTGTAATGCGTTTGACCTCTCCAGCCCACCGTATCTTGGTGATCTATGTGTTATGTAGAGTCTTTTCTTACCTTCTGCCTTCAAGTAAATTTGGTACAATGGAACGACACAGAGGGGAAGTACCTCTGCTTTGCTTAACCTGATTTCTTACGTGCATGAAATTATAAGAATAACAGGGGAGCTCTTGACTTCCATCCAAGTCAGCAACAGATAACCAGTGTGATTCTTCATTTAAGTAAACAGATACAGAACACTGTAAGTGATTGTTTTACTAACTCGTAACGTATTCTGCTTTAAATAACTCAGATTCAGATTGTAGAATATGGAAATAACGCGTGAGTACCGTGCAATAATAAAATGCAAACATATAGTAGTGGAGTGTGGATTATGTGGGTAAAAAGGCCTATTTTCCCTCTGAGAGAACTAAGATGACCTCTGTGCACAACAGGATTTAAATGTCTGGGATTGTCATGTATTCTTTTGTAGGATGCACATGGTTTTTGCCTTTTTCATATCGTCCTTCAATTGACTAATGTGTCAGGGTTTGAGGCAACAAGACGGAGAGAGCTCTACTAATAATCTGACTCTCAAGGGGTAGTCAAGAGCAGGAGAGGTGCCAAGGAAAGAGAGAGGCATTGCAAGACAGAGGGCAAGAGTTTGTACAGGGAGGGAGATTAAAGAGAGAGAGAGATGGAAAAAGTAAGGAGAGCCTTGTCAGGTAGAAAAGAGAGGGGAGGAGGAAAAGAGGGGGCACAGCTAGCACAGCATAAATTTGCCTGAGCTGCTTGGTTACCTTCCAAACAAAGCTGCTGATTTGCGGAGCAAAGGAAGAGGAGGGAAAAGTGAGTGAGACAGACATGAAAAGAGGAGGGGGAGGATAGAAAGAGATGAGGGGAGTGATTGCACCATGCCACACACACTTGAAGCTCAGTCTCCCTTGGAGACACTGGCAGAGCTGGATCACGGCATGATAGAGCAACTGTAGGGTCTCCACTTCGCTACACTTCCACTTCGCTATCACCACTGAGCTGTGGCACTATACAGACGTGCTCGGCTAGAGAGGAACAGAGAGTCAGGACTTGAGTCCTGGAAGGAGACTAAAGATTTGACAGAGACCTAGGAAGAGGAGGAGGAGGCAGTCAAGAGTGTGAAGAAAAAGCGGAGGAGTCGGGAGTCTGAGGATGCACAGAGCGAGCTGAAGGAGCTGCTGAGCTTGCAGCAGCAGCCAAGCAACACTTCTAAACTCAAATACACACTACTTCCAGGGGAGGACAGTGTGTGGTGCCCCCAGTGGAGGATGAAGAAGCACTCAGCCCGAGTGGCTCCTCTCAGCTCATACAGCACTCAGGTCCTGACCTGCCCTAACTCTGAAGGTAAACTGAAAGCTCCAAAGAGACACAAGATGCCATTTATACTGTATTGGAGTATACTGTATGCATTGTGTGTGTAAATAGAAAAATAAGATACGACAAAGTACTTAACTTTTATTTTCAGGGTCACGAGTGACATTTTGTTTCCTACAAGGCATCAAATACACCAAAGTGCCATGTAGAGTCTATAAGTCTTCATAGGAAATATTGAGATTTTAATAAATATGGACGTTTCCAAATTATATCCTGCTCCATTTACATGAGAGCAGCCTTTGGATCTAAAAACTGTTTGAATTTGAATACTGTAAAAAAAATATTTTCTATTATTTCAGCCTCCTGGTAGCAGTGTAATGGTAATGGAGTGTGTAAAGCCTGTTGTTGTTCCCCCTCATCTGATTAAACATTTTAGCCCCCCACCTTTAACTCTGTTAACAGAGATTACTGTGATGCCACTAATCAACTTTTCATCAGCATCATGATATCCATGTCTCATCTTCAGGCCTAATTTGGATAAAGACTTAATGCGTTTTGACCTGAGCTAAGCTGGCTAAAAACTGCAGACAAGACTATGAGCCTCTTATTGGATTCAACGGGCCTCCATCAATCACTGCCGTGCAACATTAGTGGTGGCGATAAAGGAGAAAATGGATTAAAATGTGAGGTTCCAGAAGCATACTGCATCACGATGAATGGATAAATGGGTGCCGGTGGTGACTGATGCTATGCAGCACTGGGTTTTCTGCAATGAAGTGTTCTAGCACTTCCAAATACTCTGACTCCATGTCTGAACCGATATAAGCTACTGTGCATTTAACCTATAAAACTATAAAAAACCTCAAAATATTACACTTTTTTATCCCGAGTATCACTGCAGTGGATGCTTCTTTGACATGAGGAAATTAGCTTTTCTTGGGTTACATTTAACACACTGTTCATTTTATCCTGACTTGTAGATTTTAATATTTGTGCATGTATTCATTCTTTTATCCAATCACATTTTACCTACCAGAGCACCAAAACTGATCATCACTCACTTAAAAAAACAAAAAACAAAAAACACCCCAGCGCTAAGTAACTAATTATTCATCATGGACATACAGATACCTTAACACTACTAACCTTAAATTTGAGCTTTTCATAAAACTTGCCCTGAGTTGGACTGAATTTACCTTCACTCCTGCAGTACTGTGTTGTCAGCCTGTGTTTAGCAGAGATTATTGTTTCCTTTGCAAAATTTTACCACCAATATTTGTCAGCAATAATACTGTCTGCTATGAGAATACAATTTTGGCAATGGGAGCAACTTTTATGAGACAGGGGAATAGTAGAGTTATAATATTACTGCGTCTTGGCATCAGATGAGCCTGTTGTGGCTTTTACCTCAGGACAGAAAAGCTTGCATCTGACACTAAAAGCTTTAGGTTTTGTCGGTGCTGTGAAACACAAACCATCCTGCTGTGTGGATGAAGAAAAACAGACCTAAAGTAAAAAAAAAAAAAAAAATTTAAATAAATAAAAGAGCTGCTTCTCTATTGCAGAAATATCGGATCTCAGTTTTTTCCACTTAGCAACCACCAGGTTCATTAGTTTGATTAAGAACCCTTGCTGTGACAGAATGCAATTAAATGAAATCCCTCGATGATCCTGCAGAAACTGTATCGATGGTGAGCTTTTTGCCTTTAACACATCCCCTGAATAGAAACAGTTTAAGTGCTGTTCTCCTGCGAGCGTTTTTTGTGGTGGGGGTGTACAAGTTGAACTCATTATTACTTTTGAATTGTTGGGTGCTAAATAATATTTTTCTTTTGCACTTTGAAGGCTCGTAAAAGCCTTCAAAGTGTAAGTGGTCATTGAAGAATTTTCACTCTGCACCGTGGACAGACGGTCAGTGCTGCAGCAATGCAGTGTTGGAAAATACATTCACGTGAGCTTTATTGGAGCTACTTTACTCGGGTGTTTCCATTTTATGCTAAATTTGTAATATGCCTCATTCCACAGTTTTTTTGTTTGTTTTTTTACACCAATACATTAACTAGAAAGCTCACTGGTGCTTTACAGTTGAAAAACAAGTTATTTGTCTATAATGAGGAATGCTTTTTTTCTTTTAAAATACTCATTTGGTTTCATCTAAATAATAGTTTGAGGCCCAGACTTGAATAAAACTGTATTACTATAAAAAATATATTTGTTAACTTCCCCATTACCTGTACCCCAAAGCACAGCTAGCCTGCCTAGAGACTACTACACTCAAAAAAATATTTGTTCCCTAATTCTGACTTTAATTAATTTGATTACATCTAAATTTTACAATTTGAAATGTTAAATTTAATGGAACCAGGTCAAATGAAATTTGACTAGCATATATTTTTCTTTTATTTATTATAGTTACATTTTACTTTAAATCATTACTTTGTGTTTTAGTGTACTGAGCATTGAAAAACATGTTTTTTTCTTCTTTCTAACCCCATTTAGCATCTTTTTCTGCAGTGAACTAAAATCTTTAAAGGAACACAAAGTATAATGCATATAAAGTTAAGTTAAAATGCACTGATGTATCACTAATGCAAAAGTTGATACTGATACTCAGTTTCAGGAAACCAATTTTCTTCAGAGTGCCTCCTTTCATGTGATGCTAAGTACATTTAGAGGATAATACACTGATACGATCTTAAATGCAGGAGTTTTAATTGCAAAGGAGCATTTTTATGTTCTTATTTTTTACTTCTATCCTTGAACTGATTGAAGATGGCTGCCAGTAATGACTGTTTCCAATCTGCAATTTTATAATCTCTTGGGCAGTTTTTCAGCCACTGAGTGCCGGCGATGATCTCATGCACTTATAAAGGATATATACCACGTTTGGCAAGACTTTTGATTGTTTTATGAAGTTACTCATCAACTTACTTTCAAAGTTTGGTGACGTTTTCCTCTGTTTGCATCCTGTAAAAAGAAGGAATGGATTTTAAAACACATACTGGCATCTGATCACATAAGGAACTTTACAAAAACTAAACTTCTACCAGCTGTCCTACTAATAAAATGGCTGTTTGATCAAAGAGTTTGCTCTTCACACACTGTGTTACAGCTTCTTTTGATGTAAGAAATGATTATTTACTGCACTTGTTGGTACAATCCATTTCCAGTACACGTCACTGACTTGTGCTCCCATTGCTTGACATCCTGCTGAGGTCTTTTTGCAGATAACAAACAGAAGACTATCGCATGCAATAATGAGCACCCCTGTGTTGTGAAGAGGAGAGCTACTACTGCTACACGTTCTAGTGTGTTTGCAGGGCTCTGGTGTCTGTGGCGGAAATGGCAGAGCTTTAGGTGCTGAGCTAGCAAACAGCCAGCACATGTCATCTTTTATTCCTGCCCTGGTGTAAATTGATCACACTGTTGAGAGGTAAAGAACAGATCTGAGCTCACACACATCCCACTTTGCTTTCTCTGATCGTCCATAAAGGCACTGGGACATACGTATCATTTAACCTTTGCAATTTGGATGTTCCAGTAAAGTTCCAGTAAATTCCTTTTCATAGCAGCGATACAAGAACAGTGTCCCATGAGCACCAAGGTTGGCCTGACTTTCATGTTGACTGTCATGTGGTTAGGTTTACTTTTGCTCTCTGGGCATCCGGTTTCTGTGCACATCTGGCTACAAAGGGAGTACAGTACATGCTGCATCATGAGGCAACCAAGCTATTTATGGCATGTGCAGCGTGCAGCGTGTTAACCCGATGCATTTTAAATGGAGCCTCAATTGTGCCACCACAGCAAGAAAGGCAAACTGAGGCAGTGATCACTAAGGACGACTGATCGATGAAGCTCATGTGCTGGAACCCAGTCAGGAAGCCACAATGCAGGCAGCACTGAAGTCTATATATAGTGGTGCAAAAAATACAAAAGTTGTTAAGTTTAAACTCATTATACTAATCAAAATTATTCAGATGAAATCTGATGCTAGCTGTGGATTTCCTTTAATTTTTCTCCCCCCTTCTTGACTCTTATCAGGAGAGGATGGCTCGGAATCTCACGCAGAGACACCAGGAAGTGAGACCAGTATGGAGAGCCAGTCCTTCCACACGTGCGCCAACACGGCTCTGAAGGTGCTGGGTGGTTTGCTGATGGTGCTGTGTGTTTCCTCCTCCTGGGTGGGTACCACTCAGGTGGTGAAGCTGACCTTCCAGTCATTCTCCTGTCCCTTCTTCATCTCCTGGTTCAGCAGCAACTGGAACATCCTCATCTTCCCCATCTACTACTCGGGACATGTCGTCACCACACGGGAGAAGCAGACCCCCATCCAGAAATTCAGGTAAACCTCATTTAAGAAGTTTTAAGAAGCCAAGTGTGATATCTGAGGAGGTTCCAATCTATTATCATTTTACCTCTGGTGAGTTGGAACCAGTATTAAACCACCCTCAAGCCTGTGAGAGCCAAACAACCATCATGTCCATTCTCTAAACACAGTCTTCCAAACAATGAAGCATTTCCATTCAGAAGACTTTACTGGTGTTTTTCTCTAACAGGGAGTGCAGCAAGCTCTTTGGGGAGGATGGAATGACTCTCAAGCTTTTTGTAAAGAGGACAGCACCCTTCTCAATCCTGTGGACACTGACCAACTACCTGTACCTCTTAGCCTTGAAGAAATTGACCGCCACTGATGTCTCTGCCCTCTACTGTTGCCACAAAGCTTTTGTTTTTCTCCTCTCATGGATTGTCCTCAAGGACCGGTTCATGGGTGTTCGGGTCTGTATGAAAACAAGAAGGAGATTGTTTATTACCTGTTTAACACAAGCTTTTACTACTTCAAAATGTGTCATCTATGTGTCTATGTGCAGATTGTGGCTGCCATAATGGCCATCACAGGTATTGTCATGATGGCTTATGCTGACGGTTTCCATGGTGATTCCTTTGTGGGTGTGGCATTGGCTGTGGGCTCAGCCTCAACTTCAGCTCTTTATAAGGTCAGACTTCCTCATAAGCCCGTTCCAGTCTGAGCTATGCTTGATTTTTGATTGCATCGTGTCAACTCTTTGTTTTCTCACCATCCAGGTGCTGTTCAAGATGTTCCTAGGCAGCGCCAACCTTGGAGAAGTGGCTCATTTTCTTTCCACCATGGGCTTTTTCAACCTCATCTTCATCTCCTGTGTGCCCCTCATCCTGTATTTCACCAGGGTAGAGCACTGGGGCTCACTCTCCTCACTGCCGTGGGGATACATGTGTGGACTGGCAGGACTGTGGCTGGGTGAGAGTGCATATACACCGGATGGTTTCATCCACATGTACAAACCATTTTGGATCATTTTAAGGCTTTTAGTATAACTATAGGGATTCATTTCTTATAGTTACCATCAGTCACTCGGTTTGTATTGTCTGAATACAGGATCTGTAGGCAAAGGGCATTATTTTAAGTATCGGAAATTTTCCACTTTCCGTTTGTTGTCTGCTTTTAGCCCCAGTAATGGAACGTTAGCTATCGACTGACAACAATTTAGCTTTTTATTAGCTTTTTGAAATATATGTGTATTCATAAATAATGGTGAGTGGAAGGAAGTGTTCCATTATCCACTTTCCAGATAACCTGGCAAGACCATAAGCTACAAAATATTGGCCGCCATCCCCAGTGGCTAGGTCAGATAACTAAGCTAATGGGTTCCCAGATGAGACGTTTCACCTCTCATCCGAGAAGCTTCTTCAGTTCTTAGAGTCAGTGGTGGACAGTCCCAGATTTATGCCCACCATTTGACTCTTAGAACTGAAGAAGCTTCTCGGATGAGAGGTGAAACGTCTTCAAGCAACTTAAAGAAGTCCAGACGCTTTTCTTTCCAAGCTCCTTAGACAACGATGACCTGGATGACTGAGAACCTTTACAGAGTCTTCTGTTTCTTCTGTCTTCTGTTTCTTTTGCAGTGTTCAACATCCTGGTCCATGTTGGTGTGGTACTGACTTACCCCATTCTGATCTCTATAGGGACACTGCTCAGTGTGCCGGGAAATGCAGGTAAGGTTATCTGCCATTCACTGATCATTTTGATGTAAAATAATATGATTGTAAAAAATGGAGTAAACGGCCACACATACTGTGGCGCTGTATTGAGAGGTCAGCATTTAGGGCCACTGTAGCAAACAGATTACACAGCAAGTCTGCCTCTTTTGTCCCGGAAACCCAATCATCAGTGTGCCTCGACAAATCCTGCAACCATCCTCTTGCTAAGGGAGGATCAGATTCCCAAGGCAACACAAATGCCTGCAGACGAGTTCTTTTCCTTAATGGTCTGTATGAAGGTCAGTGGGTTACGGGAACCTGTCCCAGGGCTCCAGACCACAAAGACACAGAGGATAAAGTGGATTGCTTGCGCTGATTATAAGCTGCATTTGTTACACTAATCCCCCTACAGCCGCACTGTCCTGTGGTTTATCTTACTTTATGTAATTAATCTCGATTTGATTGTGTTTCTCTCTCATCCTTCACACTCTCTATCCCCATCCTGCTCTCTGGCTCCCTCTTTTGTTCCCACCCATATTTATTCCCCTCTCCCTCTAGCTGTAGATCTTTTGAAACATGAGGTGATCTTCAGTGTGGTGCGACTGGCTGCCACCTGCATCATCTGCCTGGGCTTCCTGCTCATGCTGCTACCAGAGGAATGGGACTCAGTCACTCTGCGTTTCTTGGCCACCATTGCGGACAAAAAGTCAGAGGACCACGGCGAGGAGCTCACAGACTCCAGCACCCACACTCGAAGCCGCAGTCGCGCAAATGGCACTGTCTCCATTCCCTTGGCATGACATGCTCTGATAGTAACCTCCGTTAACCAGTCTGGAAACTCCACATTTCTCCAGAGCCCACACTGGAGGTGTGGTGGGACGCTCAGTCCATGTGGACTCATCTATCAGGAAGTGAGGCAGTAACGTCTTGAACTTCAAACTTCACTCTGGAGACGTACTGTTTCTATCACTTCACAACAACAGGGGAAACTGAAAACATTTAGGGATCATGCAACTTGAAAGAGCTGAAAGTGTTATTTACTTTCTTGACATACTTGCCGCGCTCCATCCCTCGCACGCACCCAAACCAAGAGCTGACTGGCTCCCCCTTGAGATGCTCTGCAGACTGTATTCTGTGAATATAACTATCAGCAGGGCCAGTTTGGCTCAGTCTTACACATATTTATGATATTTATTTAGATCTGTATCAATAAGAGTAATAATTTTAAATCTTACTGAATAGCATTATATAGAAGAATGATGATTATACTATGCTTAATGTACAGGATCTTTTGATTTTGTAATAAAAGTCTTAAAACCCACAAAAAAGCTGCATCTAACTGAGGATCACATGTATGTATTTCTAATATTTTTGGAAAAACTTCTAGCTTCAGAACTTTATTGCCTGGATAACTGAAAAGCATTCGTATACATTTATCTACAGATAATGGTGCTGGAAAAGCTTCACATCCCAAAGAGCAAAGCAACGGCTCCACTGTTTCTAAGCAAAGCTCTGACATGAGGTCACATTTTTGGTATTAATATTAGACTGACAAACTGACTGTATATTTATTTGACACTTCTCTGCCATTACAAATTATTTACTGAATATATAATATTAGTCAAGCTAGTCTATAAAGATGGAACCACGCCTATCAGAATGACTAAAGCAGACTGTTGTCCCTTTGACCATTAACTGCTCATGGACAAGTATTTTTAGCAAAATTAAGTAGTGTGATTCATTCAGTATTAGTATTCTCTGTGTTGCTCTGATTCAGCAGTGATGACTTTCCAGAATTCTTCTCTTTGAGAATTACAATGCTTTTCCGTGCTGTTCTTCGCTTTCTCACACACAAATACACAATACACAGAAAACTGACAGTTAACTGTAATTTTTCCTTTTTCACAGATACACACAATTAATGGTGAAAATGTCTAACAATGGTCAAAGCTCACGGGACATGGTTTCCTACAGACCATATGCTATGATCTTGTCACTGTGCTTTTTTTTTTAAATATCTCATAACATGGTGAGAAACATGTTTTTCAAATAGTCCTACTGAGATCATCAGTAGGACTATTTGAAAAACAGACAATCCCAAGAGTCACACTACAGTGCTGTTATGGTGGAGCACAGTCAGTGAGTCGAAACCTCTAATGAAGCATTTGCTGAGATGACAGTTTCAGCTAAACGACTGTGGTGGCATTTTAACATAATAAAATAAATGATGTCGAAGAAGCAAAAGGAAAAAAATGCAATGTTCAAATTGTACTTTCATAATGGTCACTGGTATCCAGCTAGAAACTGATAAAACACATTAATCAGAGGGGTCTTTTATAATCTTTAGCTGCAGAAAAAGTATTTTGTAAAATACATACAGTCATGCTTAAAAAAGTACAACTATATGCAGTCCTGTGAAAACACCCATAATGCCTGTATTGAAATAAAGAGGGTAAGTAGCAGTCAGGTGCTGCTATTCACATGCACTTGATTGTTTGATCATCAGCAAGTGTGAGCACCTCTATAAAAGCACAAGTTTTGGCAGTTTTGCTTGTATGGAGCATTCAGGCGTGCATCAATACAATTCGACAATTGTCCGAGGATACAAGAGCTACATCTCAGAGTTTACAGGCCTCGATTAGCATGTTAAATATTAAGGTTCATTGCAGTACAGTTAGAAAAACGCTGAACAAGTATGGCTTGTTTAGAAGGGTTGCCAGGAGAAATCCTGGTCGCATGGCTTAGGTTACATGTGAACAAACCACAAGACTTCTGGAACAACTGGACAATTTGGACAGACCAGACCAAAGTGGAGGGGTTCGGTGATAATGGACAGCACCACATTTGGTAAAAGAGAAATGCAGCATGTCAGCTGAAACACCTCATACCAGCCGTCAAGCACGGTGGTAGAGGGGTGATGATTTGGGCTTGTTTAGCAGCCACGGGACACGGGCACCTGCTGTCATTGATTGCTAAGATATTTTAGCAATACCTTTTATTTAAACATCTATCCATCTCAAGGTGGCGCTATAATCATGCAATTGGGTACCGCAAGTGGCTTTGCAAAATCACACTGGGTAGTTGTTTGACACAATATTTCAGTCAGGTGAAAGCAGTATACCAACACACTGATAGACTGGGACTGCCATCCCCAGATCCATGCTGCTAGCATGATAACAAAAACAATACCAGTCTTTAAAAAAATTCCAAATATTACCAAGCACAGAAAAAAAATGCACAACAACTCCTGTATGCAGTGTAATAGGAACCAGGACTGTAACAGTTTTTTCCTACCCCGGTGCTTTTATGAGCTCTACTGGAGTCATATTTTTCAGTCAGAAAACAATTTCCCTCTCTGCTCCCTCTGGGCTTTCAGATAGCAAAGGGGGTGCAGGAAAATAACAGGCTCTTTCAAGCATTAACTTATGAGTTACAAAGTAACCTGTAGGGAGAGTTGCCATAGAAACCTAGCTCATTATAATGTGAAAGTCAGGTTGGGATGGAGTGTACACCTACTCTTTTAACCACATTTTTACTTGGGTGCCACACAACAACGCTCCAGGACAAATCATAAGTTTGAAAGCTGCTGAGGATGTGAAGACCACTGGGTTTGGAAGCAGCTGAAGCAAATGATGCAAATTGAAAAGACTCCTTTAAAAGTGAAGTTACTGACATTTTTTATAGGACAGGGCAAAAAGGAAAAGAAATATTAGCACAAGTGGGTCTACGCTCACAGAGCCATCATGTGACTGAGGTCATTTGTAACACCCAACTTTAAGACAGATATTGTAACCATTAAACTTTACATAAATAGCTTGGACCGAGAAGTATTTTGCAAGTCTCAGCTTCTTGGACCGACAGCAGGACAATGGGCTCTACACACTCCAGACCAGGATTGCATAAAGTGGCCCCATGTAATATTTTGCAAGAAAAGACTCAGAAGCCAAAACCACAATGGACAGTCCCTGCACTGCCACACGCTGTGGAGCTGCCACCAGGATCTGTGGGAGAGAAAAGCACAACCTTTCCTCCACTGAAGCAGGAAATAACTCTTTCTTTGCTTTCAGGTCAGTCTGCGCCAAATTTCATTCCCAGTTATGATTTATTTGTTTTGTTACTCATCACTATGTGTTACTGATTTTGTGTTTGTGTGTGCAATTTAAGCATCATTCATTCTCCTCCACCCAGAAGACCTTGGGTTAGCTTGGCAAAAGTAGCTGCCTAATATATTTAACTAAAACAGACTAGTCGTGCTGCCTGGTTCATTTTTAAAACATTTCACATCTGCGCTGGGACTCTGGGAGACATCATTCATTATTGTCTCTGACTGGTTGTGATTATTACCCAGACATCCCGTCATTATCTCTCCTCAGGCACTGCAACTGCTGGCCCTTAAAATTGGCCACACAAGCACTGCCAATCAAATTGCCAAAGTAATAAAAAAATAAATAAAAATAAATAAAAATATCACTGCTAACCCACTGTCACCTTCATGCTATGTCAAACGATTCCAATAAGGAATTTTGATGGTTTTTTTTATAGGACAGGGACCTCACAGATGGGGATATTCACCGTTTTTTTACAACCTGCCAAGAAGGCACGAGCAAAGTAATTCAGGTAAAGCATCTTGACAAAGTATGGAAGAGGTGAAGTGCATCTTTAGCATCAATAATTTAAATCATACATTTTTACTAACAGTCTGCAACGGTGCTTAAGAGCGAGTGGGAGAGGGTAGAAAAAATGGGGTGGATGGGAAAGGAGGGAGAGAGAGGCAGCTGTGAGTCTGAGCCCTTCCTCTTGTCTCCCAGTGGATCTGATTAAAGTGCCAGTAGAGTGGAAAGTGGGGTGGTCTACAGCCATGACTGGCCCTCAACGGGATCTATTTTCAGGCTACAGAGAACAGAAAAGCTCCCACCAGGAGATGCAAACTTGCAGAAACAAATAAAAGCATAGACTCCACAATTGTGTTACTCTTTCTCTTTTTTTAGAGTGTTTGGCTTTAAACCCAGCATCCACTCTTCCATTACCTACAAAACACCAATTCCAATGAAAACTGATGGGTCAGTTCCTTTAATTATAAATATCTTTACAACAATATGAAAATACTGAGCATTTAATAGCACATAAGTAGTAGAGACATTAAAGGAATTTTCCTGGCAGTGAAGCAGAAGTATGCAACAAAGCAAACTAGAAATATTTCAGTAAAGTACAAATAACTCATAATTATAATTCACTACAGTGCTGGAGTAAATGAACTTAGTTGATTTCAATAGCCAGTTTATTTAACCCTTTCTAGGGCAGGTTTCTGGAGGTTCAGAGAGCTGCCTCTCAAGCTCACCTCTAAAATGTCAGGCAGCAGAGAAGACATAAGATACAGTCTACACATTTAACCTCAGGCTTGGAAATTGTTGATCTAATACATACTCTGTTTGAATGTGGTGTATTCCAACCTAACTTGCCTTCTTTTATTTGTCCTTTTCGATGGAGATCCAAATGCAGAAGGCATCCAGAAGCTGAAACTCGTGAGAACCCACTGAGAGAGACATCTTTTGGAATGAGACCACAAGAAACCCCGGCTGCCTTCTGGAGCCAATATCTTTCCCTTCCTTTGGTTTTGAAGTGTAACCTGTCCAGAAAAACAGCTACAACACAAGCTCGATCATACAGTCAAAGAAGACAGAGTTCATGATGTAGCACAGACTAAAGGAAAAAACACACACAACAAACTGGAGATGGCAGATGTTTTTGAAAACAGCAAAACAAAATGGAAAACTGGACAACTGAAGAGAAACTGATGCAGAGAACTGAAGTAAAGTGCACAGAGGTCACAGGATGAAACGGTCAGATAGGCAGGATAAGAAGCAGAAGCAGGATCTTTAAGCTATCATACCAAATTTCAGTTTTCAGAAATGATAACAAAGTTGCCATGCGTGTTCTGGAACCAACTTTTATTAACAATATGATGAAACTTTTTGATGTTTGGAAGCTACTGCATGTTCTGGCTTTCATGACTGAGTTTATGGCGCCCTCTATTGGTGAAAGAAATGCGATGACGTGAGAAAAACTGCTGGAACATTGACTTTAGCCTCCCTGCAATATTGACAACAAACATCCAAAAATGAACTATTTAGCTAAAAGAGGTTTGAATCGACTTTTTTTTTTTCTTTTTAGGTTTCTGGTCCATTATTAGACATTTGGGATAAAAGTTAGTGCAAAAGAAAAAACAACAACAACCTTTCAGTCTGCAGATATATTCTGTTATTTAAAAGCAAATGCACGCTCAGACTGAAAACAGGAAGCTAGTAATTCTACCATTATTTATGAAGTGGCCTCCCTGAGGCCGACTCTAAGCAGACTTAGACTGGCTGAGAGGAACTGGACTCCTACCAAACACCTGGAACAACAGAAGCTTTCAATTGCTTGGTCCCCAGGCCCAGCGTGTTAAATGAACACTACACAGCAGGAGGAATTTAATCAGCAGTGATAATCTTGCAGTGGTTGGGTAGAACTATTTAAACAGAAGAAATTCACTTTATTAAATGTATTAAAGACATAAATACATGCTAATGTGACTTTTATTGTAATCTGCCACTGGGTGTCATTATTGGGCTGAGGGACACACAGTAATTCAAACATCCACAGAGAAGTGGGAAGCATTTTTTGGCATTTAATTGCAAATTCTTTTGTGGGTGTGCAAAAACATTTTAGTATCCAAACTTCATGATGTTTTAAACGATTTGTAACAATCCAAAATGCTGCGTTTGGCCCACATGATCTTTATTTTGATTATTACAGGATTAAAGTGTAAATCTGTTTCTTGTATGCATGTATGCAAGAGTAAACACATTTTAAATAAATGAACAATTCAGCTGAATGCCCAGAGGTATGGACAGAAGGCACTGGAGCAGAGCAACACATTAAATGAGTCCATCTACTTAGCAAGCTATTCAATCAACAAAGCAAAGTCTGCCAGTGAGAGGCCACTAACTGCAGACTTGAGGAGCCAGACTGACCACATATTGCGACACTGAGGAGATTTAGAGTGGCCCAACTCTTCAAAAAAAAAACAAAAAAAAAAAAACCCTTCTCCTTTTCCAGTTCGCTAACCACACACACTGGGCCTTAAAGCCAAATCATCGTGGAGGGGGAGAGCCGAGAGGTCTCGGTGTCTGCCACTCCATACTGCTACATAAAAAGAAGGTGAAGGATGCCGTGTGAGCAATTGGTTCCAATTGACAGAGGATTGGTCATGGTCAGCCTTCTGAGTGGAAATCCACGTGAGAATGTAGCATTTGGACCAGCAAGGGGCACAAGAGGCCAACGGCAGACAATGAGGCCACTCAGAGGAGTCTGGCTGCTGTGGAATAGTTGGGACACAATCTCCTCTGGTTTAACCCTTCATCAGCTAGTTATTCATTCAACTTAATGCACAGAGGTGGAGCTTGTGTAGTAGAAATGTTACATGCATAGTTCAGGTAATGTGCTGATAAACTGAGGGAAGCATTTGGAACCAAACGCCGATTTGAGCCGTTTTATCTATGCATCGAAGCATACATAGAGGGCTACTCTGATGATTGTGTTACATCAATAAAAGATCAAAATCATTTACAGCAGGCTGCACCATAAATTAGTTAAAAAACCTCCTCTGTAACCTCGAGAGGCAACTCAACAGTTACCATCCTTGTGACTTTTTCACCAATTAGGCAGGTCCTGCTCACAGAATGAGACCGACAGCTTTCAAGTCTCGAAGGGCCCGAGGGTCAGCGCTCAATCACAGTCAGGCTGGAGAGTTTGTGTGTTTCAGCTAGCTACTAGTTGACAGGGCAAAGCTGAGGTCAAAAGAGGTGGGGGCCAGTGATTGGTATGGGTGTGGACTCCTGCCAGCTCAAAAGAGAAGGTTTTGTCGCCAAGACACTGGCCGAATCAGGCTTCCCTTTCACAGTCCAGCCGCCCCTCTACTCCAGGCCTACAACAGCTGATGACAAGGCCCCAGCTGCTAATTATCCGGCTGATGGAGAGTCACTGAAGTGCGACTGTCAGAGCAAGGGGTGGCCCTTGTGTCTGCAATGGGATATATCTGCGGCAGACTGGGGGATAAAAGAAGTTGAACTGCAGGTGCAGGTAGTTCTTTAAAAGCAGTAATCCAGTTGATTTTTGCATATTGTGAAGTGCCTTTGCACATGTGAGTAGATAATAGATAATAACTCTCCTGTAAAACAGGGTACCATAATAATAATTTAACTGGGTCAAAATTCTTTACTTCCAGCTGTACCCGGGACGCTGGGTCCTGGGTCGTACATCACTGTGTGTGCGTTACAGTATTTTCAGTCTCTTTAATACACAGTGCAGTGTCCACAAAGCCCCTCTTTGTGAATCCATCCTACATCATCATCTGTCCAGAAGATACCGGAGCTGTACCTGTTGAATTCCATATGTAGTACTCTTTGGACTGAAGTTCTCGGGCTGAGGGCAGGACAGGCACAGCTGTCAGGGTCACGCAAGAGACAAATATTTATAAAAATTTTTTTTTTTTACTGTAAGCTTACATGTTACAATCCGTGGCTTGGCAGAAGAATAAACCTGCACCGAATGCTGGTCAACATAACACCCAGACAAAGTCATGTCAGGCACTTTGAAATGCAACTGTGAAGAAAAAAGCCACTGATGAGGAGTAATAAATCTTTTTATCTCGTCTTACATTAATGTGAGTAGTACATGAAGACCATAAAGTAGTAAGTATGGGTGACGATCCTTGGCTACTGGCAATTATGAAACATAATAACTTACTTTGACATAAGCAGTAAGTTTTGTGCAGAGTGGGTCAGAAGGTCCTGGTGTTGGTCCAGAAAAGTTGATCTTACCCTCCATCGTAACCTCACGAGACTTTGGGAACTTTTGCCCTACATATCATTGAGAATAAAATAGTCATCCATTTTTTTCAAAGTATGCAGATGCAGTGAAAGTGATTTTGTTTCTTATAGGGAGAGTCTGAAGCATAACGCTTACCCAGGACCCAGACAAGCAGGTTTTTCTCTTTTGAAACATCCAACTGTCCAGAGCTTACCTTCATATCTACAACACCCATTTGATCCCTGCACAGTGCACACAGAGACAGTATGCAGGCAATCAATTAAATCGGATTTTTTTAACAGAGGTTACAGAACACAGCTGAATTACAGTGCAGTTTGTTTAATAGTCTCTCACACACAAGCAAGATACTATAACTCTGCTAAATTAGATTTAAAAACATTTAAAAGAGTTTTCTATTAAATTTTTTTTCCTGCACACACATGTGCATTTGATTTTTCAACAATTTCTAAACTCCTAAAAGGGCTCTCAGTAATTATATTTATGACTGGATCATATTATGCTTGTAAAGAAAGCATAAAGCACGAGGAAATAGTGATTTTGAACTTTGTGTAGTTTACCTGTTAAAGAATGGCAGGTGAGCATTACAGAACTCAAAACTGTTCTTTATACTCTCATGAAGTTTGAGGGTTACTGACACGCGAAGCTGGTTCTCCTCTTCCTTTAGTTGGTATGAACCAAGTATGGGTGGAACAGGAACCTGGTGAGAAATTAAGATTTTAGCAGAAATCATTTACAAAATGAAAATATATCTGCAAGGAATTTGTATGCATACCTCAGAAGTATAGCTGCATAGTCTGAAGGGCTCTAGAGGAGGGGAAAAGGGAAACTTGTATGGCCCGGAGAAAGCTGAGCCATCATAATTATCCACACTGCTGGCAGTCAGGATACTCGAATCCAGAGATGTGACACAGGGATGGACCAGGATGTCCTGCAGTGGAGAACCATTTGGTGGCAGTGATAGAGTCACTGTCACATTTGGGAGCACCCCCTCCACTTCACACTGTTGAAAGAAGGGTAGAAATGTAGAATAATCCTAAATAAATCATTTCCAGAAGTTATAACATTAATCACTTTTATTTACATTGCGGACTTACTTTGCATGTCACGGTGCCATAAACATCCCAGAGGTCCTGTCTGCTTCGATTACCATACTGCATGGACCGCACTGTTTCTATCAGTCCAACGTTAACCACAGCTCGACCTCGGTGTAGTCCTGTCTTCCAGGCTGGCTGTTTCTGAGTTCCAACAGAAGTGGGCGCTGTGGGTGTAGCAGGTGTCCCAGGTAGGGGGACATCAAGGGGTGTGCCAAGTGGACAAACCTGCAGGAGGACTGAGGGCACCATTGCCAGACGAGAGCCAAGCCCTTCACTATCAGGCTTACTCCCTGAGCCAAGGAGAAAAGTCTGTAGGCCTGCCAGAAGTGTGAGACCCTGTGAGACTGACAGCAGACTGGCCAGAGGTGGCCGCGGATCAGGAGGGACATCCACTAAAGGCAGACACGCCAGAATGAGAGGCCCTTGCGAGACAGTCAACACAGGCCAAAGTATTCCTTTTGCAGGTCCATCCACATGCAGCTCCAGGGCTGGTGACCGTGGACGGTAAAGACAGTCATCTCTGAGGGCTACATAATTCTTACCTGAGTCTGAAAGCCCCAGCTCAGTGAGCAGGAGCTGCAGGAAAGTACTCTCCTCTGGGACTGCTACATATGAGGAACCTGCCAGGCTCTTTGCACGGTGCTCCACGGTGGAAAACCTCCTGATGAAGGAGACACAAGACATGACAAAACACAGCGATCTATAAGTAATCCGAAAAAAATATGTTACGTTAGCATATATGTGACAATAATTAGAAGTCACAAACCTAGAAAAGCGTATTGACAGATTTCCTCCATTCTCGTGAGAAATAATCCACAAACCACGTACAGTCATTTCTCCGGCTACAGCAAACTCCCGACTT